GGGGGATCTCAATGGGAGAGGAGTGACAGTGGGAAGGTGGGTGCTGCTACAGTGGAAGGAGGGGAGGGGGTGCTGCTTTGCCTGCAAGCCGGCCACGCTGGATCTCCCCATCTCTCTCCCCATCTCTCGCCATCTCTCCCCCGCCTGCAAGCCGGCCACGCTGGACGCGCTCGCCGAGCCGAGCCAGTCGCAAGCATCCTGCGACGCAAACCACTGGTGGGCCGCCGCGCCCCGCCGCACGCGGATCGGCCCTGCTCACGCTTGAGGTGTGTGAAGTGGACGCCGTTCACAGTCGCCGCCGCCGCCACTCGCGGCCCGGCCCTTGTTGGTCATCATCGCGAACTCGCTGGCGTCGACCCCGCTGCCGACGACCTCACTCAGACCGATGATCGGGTGGCCCGCCTGCGGCACCTGGGCACGGAAAGGTCCGGGAAAGGTCTCAAGCTCTGCGCGCGCGCGCACACACGAGGTGGTTGGGCGATGGCCTGGAAACCCATGCAGGCAGCAGCTGTCCCGGCAGTCTAGCGTGCACGTGTGACGCACCTCCGCGTCGGTCGTGAAGATCCGCACCGTGGCCGCGCAGCCGCCCGTCGGGCTGCGGACGAACGCCGACTCTGCAAACCCAATCTCCGCCGCAATCTGCTGCATCGCCTCCGTCGAGAGCGTGTCGTTGCGGTCCTAGAGGCGGAGTACAGGCCCATATCTCCCCGTATCTCCCCGTATCTCCCCGTATCTCCCCGTATCTCCCCATATCTCCCCAGATCTTGAGGCCTCGACGACGAGCAGCTGGTTGCCGCTCATGGGGCGGCCGGTGGTGAAGACGTCGAGGATGTGGAAGGGAAGGCCCTCGGGCGGTGAGGCGCGCGTCGCTGGTGAAGCTGCTGGTGGCGGTGAAGCTGCTGCTGGCGGTGAAGCACGCGTTGCCGGTGGCTCCAGCTCCGAGGCCGCCGGCTGAGCCGCCGGCGACGGAAAGTGGCCCTGCCAAACCGCCTTGCAAGCGGTTCGCTCGGCGACCGCGCGCGCGAGCGCCTCCACACGCGGCGCCCTCGTCGGCAGCCACTCGGCCCGGTACTCCTTGTCGCCGCTGGGCCAGCGGCTAATGACGGCGATGTACAGGTCGACGAGGCAGAAGCCACCGCTCAACAGCCATGGCGCGCCGGCGATCGCGCGCTCCACGAGGAGCCACCGATCGCGCCACTTGGCCTTTGCGAGCGCCCTCGTCGCATCGGCCGTGCCTGGCGATGCCTCGAAGCGCTCCGGGTAATCGATCACCTCGATCAGCGGGTAGATCTCCGACGAGATGAAGAGGAGCCACCGCAGCGCCTGGGCCCTCTCGGGCGTGCCGGCCGGTGGCAGTAGCGCCGCCTCTCGGTGGCGCTCATCGAGCGACAGCAAAATCGCGGCCGACTCGGTGAGCGTCTCGCCCTGCGGCGTCAGCAGCGCTGGCACCTTGCGCTGCGGGTTGATTGCCGAGAACCACTCTGACCGCTGCGCCGCGCCTTGTATGCTCGTGTCCTCGACGCGGAATGGCACGCCCGCCTCGGAGAGCGCCAGCTCGATCGCGAGTGAGCCGGACCCGCGACTGCCGTACAGGATGTAGCTCATTGCGGAACTCTGCGCTCGAAGCGAAAGTGGTTGCGGCCCCGCGCTCGTTGGGGGTAACTGAAAGAAATCGCGTTGGGGATTCGCGCCTTACTGTGCTCGAGTTGTTAGGGTGGAAGCAGAAAGAAAGAAAACCGAAAGAAATTTTTTGTTGCTTCGCGCCCCGGCCAACGTCCACCGGTTGCAATACGCGCAGCGCGTTCATCACCGAGAGAGTACACCGAAGCACCGCTCCCGCTGTCAATGGCGTACCCCGACGAGTGGGGCGCCGGCGGCGGCGACGGCGGCCCGGCCGAGTCGAAGCTCGTCCCGCTCTCGATGCAGAGCAACGAGGCGCTCCTCATCAAGACGCTGCTGGCGCGGAGCTGCCCGAGCGCAAGGCTGAGCCGCGTGCAGCGCGTGCAGAACAAGATGCTGTGGCGCGCGTACGCCAACTATCGCGACGACCAGCTCGTCCACACTTGTGCCGGCCGCGACGTCAACGAGATGCTCCTCTTCCACGGCACGGCGGAGCGGGCGGCGGAGGATGTGCTCGCGCATCAGAACGGGCTCGACCCGCGCTTCTCGAACGGCGGCTTTTACGGCCAGGGCATCTACCTCGCGGAGGACCCGTCGTACCCGATCGGCGGCCGGTACGCGCACCGCATCTCCGGCTCGGGCGGGAGCCGCGTGCAGCTGCTCATCGTGAAGGCTGCCCTCGGCTCGCAGCAGGAGATGGGGCAGCGCATCAGCGCGGAGACGAAGGCGATGCGGATGCCGGACGTGCGCGTCGAGGGCCCTCCCCGACTCCTCTACGACAGCGTGCGCGGCGGGCCGCACCGCCCCTTCGTCTCCGGCGGAGGCGAGAACGGGTGCGACGCCTCCTTCATACACGTGGTGTACGAGTCGCGCCAGATGTACCCGGCGTACGTGATCGAGGTCGAGATGGAGATGGGGGCCGAGGTGGTGGCGGCCGTGCAGAACAACTCGGCCGAGGGGAGTGCGAGCGCCGGCCCGGCACCCAAGCGGCAGCGCCACGCTGCGCCGAGCGGCGGCGGCGGCGGCGGCAGCGGCTCTGCTGCTCATGCCCCCGCCGCTGCGCCACCGAGCGACGCGGAGGTGCGGGCGATGGGCGTGGCGGCGGTGGCGGCGGCGCTGCGGGCGCACGGGTCGGTCAGTCGCGTCGCGCTTGCGGCTTGCGTGCGGTTGGGCCGTCTGTGCAAAGAGGCGCAGATCAGGCAAGCTGCGGCGGACGCGGGCGCGATCGAGGCGATCGTAGCGGCGCTGCAGGCGCACCCGCAGGTGGCGGACGTGCAGCAGTTTGGCTGCCGGGCGCTGGTCGACGTGTGTATCGGCACCGACGCCGCAGGGTTTGCACGCATCCAGCGCGCAGCAGACGCGGGCGGCATCGAGGCGATCGTGGCGGCGCTGCAGGCGCACCCGCAGGTGGCGGACGTGCAGGATTATGGCTGCTGCGCGCTGGTCAACGTGTGCGCCGGCACCGACGCCGCAGCGTTCGCACGCAAGCAGCGCGCAGCAGACGCGGGCGGCATCGATGCAATCGTGGCGGCGATGCAGGCGCAGCCGCAGGTGGCGGACGTGCAGCAGAGTGGCTGCATGGCGCTGGCCAACGTGTGCTACGGCACCGACGCCGCAGCGCTCGCACGTAAGCAGCGCGCAGCAAACGTGGGCGGCATCGAGGTGGTTGTGGCAGCGATGCAGGCTCACCCCTGGGTGGCGGACGTGCAAGAGTATGGCTGCTGCGCGCTGGGCTACGTGTGCTCCGGCAGCGACGCCGCAGCGCTCGCACGCAAGCAGCGCGCAGCACACGCGGGCATCATCGAGGTGGTTGTGGCGGCGATGCTGGCTCACCCGCAGGTGGCGGACGTGCAGGATTATGGCTGCCGGGCGATGGCCAGCGTGTGCGCCGGCTCTGACGCCGCATCGTTCACACGCATCCAGCGCGCAGCAGACGCGGGCGGCATCGAGGTGGCTGTGGCGGCGCTGCAGGCTCACCCGCGGGTGGCGAGCGTGCAGCAGAATGGCTGCTTGGCGATGGGCAACGTGTGCGCTGGCACCGACGCCGCATCGCTCGCACGCAAGCAGCGCGCAGCAGACGCGGGCGCGATCGAGGCGATCGTGGCGGCGGTGCAGGCTCACCCGCAGGTGGCGGACGTGCAGGACTTTGGCTGCTGGGCGTTGGGCAACGTGTGTTTCGGCACCGACGCCGCAGCGTTCGCACGCAAGCAGCGCGCAACAGACGCGGGCGCGATCGAGGCGGTTGTGGCAGCGATGCAGGCCCATCCGCGGGTGGCGGACGTGCAAGAGTTTGGCTGTTGTGTGGTGGGCCAAGTGTGCGCCGGCACCGACGCCGCAGCGCTCGCACGCAAGCAGCGCGCAGCAGACGCGGGCGGCATCGAGTTGTTTGTGGCGGCGATGCTGGCTCACCCGCAGGTGGCGGACGTGCAGGATTATGGCTGCCGGGCACTGGCCTACGTGTGCTTTGGCAGCGACGCCGCAGCGCGGGCGCGGAGGCAGCGAGCTAGGATTGCGGGCGCGACCGACGCGGTGAGGGCAGTTCTGCAGGCGCACCCGCACGACGCGAATGTCCAGCGGCGTGCACAGCGCTTGCGCGATCTGCTTGTCTGAGGTGGGGGGCGAGGGTGGCGTCTAATCAACGAGCAGCCGGCCGTGGGAGAAGGTCCGTCGACAGGTCTCCAATGACCATGCAGTCCGCGCCGTTGTCTGTGTCTCTCCTCTGCCGCGAGGAGACACAAGAGCCGTGCGACTCTACCGACCGGATAATCTGAGTTGTCTGTGCAGGCACACAGGCACACGAGTTACACAGCAGTTGCGAGACTGTGACTTGTGTGGTGTGTGGTATGTGTGGTGTGTGAGCTTGCGTGCTGTGCGACCTGTGATATCCGAAGAGCGAAGCTGCGTGCGTTGCTGTTGGGCCGTGTCTCATAAACGTGTGCGTGTGCAGTGGTGGCACCTGGTCGACGTACGACGAGGTGCCGCGTGCGCGACCACACAGCTCACAGGTGCCCAGGTGCAGGTCCGAGCAGGAGCACCGAGCGACCGAGGAGCGAGGTCGTCCTGTGTCGACGCTCGCGCGCGCGAGAGCGGCCGCGGATAAACGCGGCTAGCCGCTAGCGCCAGGCGAACTGCGTGTCGTTTACCTTTTACATTAACTCCGCTTTATCCTTTAAACACGACAATTCTCTCTCACGATGCCAATCATCCGGCCCGCTGGGTGCGCTTCTTAGCTCCCCGGCCCTGGATGTGCGGTTGATGACTGCACTCCTCAAGTGCTCCAAAAGTGCTCTCAGTCAGCAGACAGGCTCGACACATTTTACAATCCTCTCTCGCACAACACTGGGTCGAGAGAGATCGCCAGTGGAATAGGGAGTCCACCGTGCTGCGAGCCTGTCGCTGTCCCTTGTCAGGAGCAGGAGAACTAGGAGAGCGCAACCAGTCGAGGAGGCCCGCGCCTGCCCCCGTGCCGCCGGGTGCAACCTGTCCTATACGAGAGAGGAATCCCTGGGACCCTGTCGTGTGGGTGAACCCTGCCCAGCCCCCCTCCGTGTCGCGATGCGCTCCCCGCTCCCCTTCCCCTGTGTCCCCGGGTGCACCCGAGCCCACCCGAGAGGTGTCCCCAAGGGTCTGGGGCCGTTTTGCTAAAAATCGAGCAAAGTCAGCTCCGCCTGTCTTGCCCCGCAACTCATGGACCCTCGATGCCTCAGTCCACGTCATCCATCCGTCGCCCTTCTCGTTTGTCACGTCGCTCCACCATACCAATCCGACCTCCGCGAGCCTCTTCTTGTATGTGCACCGTCGGGCGCCTCGCCTCCACATGGTCATGCTGTCTTCCCATAGTCGTGGGCCCCGCACTGTTTCCTGTTGGCCAGTCATCTCCCACAGGTCATCATCGAGGCCGTCTTTCATCTGCATCGACGTCCTCATGCCTCGTAGTCCTGCCCGATTCCGCTGTAGGTAGTATGCCTCCATCAGGTTTCCTTCATTTAGTTGCTCGTCGGGTATGAATGTCGTGTCCCATTCGAGTGGGTGTTTGCCGCGGCACCCCAGTCTCCATGCCGTCCTCGCCAGCGCATATCTCGCGACCATCCCCGCGGGTCGTCCCTCTGGTGCCGAGAGCATGTTGTCGATCGTGCTCATACATCCAGCTCGCCGTGGCTACCTGATACGTGTGCATGCTCCCTTCACCACCATCTTCCTCCGCCGCGTATAGGTGTGCCTTCGGGTATGCTGTTCCTGCTCCCTGTCGCTCTATCGCGTCTCGCCTCGCAACTTCGATGGCGTCGCAGTCCTCCATCGTCATGACGGTCCCTCTTGCAGCCGCTCCGACCACCCCTTCCATCGTGAGCGGTTACGGGTGCGGACGAGCGAATGAGAGGTCCCTTTCAGTGAGAGATAGGCAGCCCTAGTCTCTAATAACACATCTTCCACAGATAACGACCTCTCATTCGCTCGTCCGCGCCCGCCACTGCTAGTCGGGGCACTCCCGGCGTGCGGCCCGGTCCCGGTCGTCACTCCGGTTGCTCGTGTTCACACCGTCAGAACTCAGCTCCGCAAGGATTCAGTGTCTGAGAGTTGGGCATGTTACACAACTTTTGTAGTAGCGCACAATGGCACCCTTGCATCAAGTGCATCACTTCATTAATACGCCGTAATACCGACCCCCGTTTTCGGCCGCCGCGGCCGGAGAGCACCCCCGTCGCCCCCGGGGCCCGTCGACACCTCCCAGGTGCCGCCCTCGCCGCCTCCCTCGCCACCGCCACCCACCGACCCACCGCCGCCACCGCCGCTACCGCCGCCACCTCCACCGCCGGCGCCACCGCCGCCACCGCCGCCACCGCCGCCATCGCCGCCACCGCCGCCACCGCCACCAATCAATGAGTCCCTCATACAATGCTGTCAGGTCCTTGACGGCTCCGTGCAGCTCACCTGACCCGCCTCCTCGGCCGCCTTCGCCTGCCTTCGCCCGCACTTGTCCAGCGTCCACCCATACCGCGTTGGTGTCCAGTCCGACGCGAGCCTGACTGTTCTTCGCCTTCCTACATACATTCAACAACAACATGTACATGTACATGTCCCTGCTGTGCTGTTGCTGCGGCGGCGGCGGTGGTTTCCTTCTGCTTCGGCTGCGGTTCCGGCAGAGGGAATGGGTGTGTACTTTCGGTGGCCGCGAAGGGACGCGCTGCCAGTGGGGCCCTGAGCCCCCGCCCGCACCCTGCACCCACCGCACTGGTCCCATGTTCTCCTTCTCGCGGACAGGCACGACGAGATATACGTCGCGTCGCCGTCGCCGGTCTGGACGGTGGTCGGTGCGCGTGTCTCCCCGCGCGTACACGCCACTCCGCATCGTTGTGCATACTGACGCCTCCTCCACCGAAAGTATCTCGTGTTTTTTTGTATTTTGACAGTTATCATTTTGAGGTCGAAAGGATCGCGCCGACTCGGGCAGCGCTCTAGACGCCTCAGACTCAATAGATTCAAGGTACTCAAACCTTGGCAGGGCGCCCACCGCGCCCGCTCTGCTCCTCGACCTTCTTGGGCAGCAGCTGGTTCGACAGGTCCTCTCCGTGGCCTAGGCAGCCACTCTCGCCCTTGCCCCAAGTGAAGACAGCGCCGTCTGCGGTGAGGGCAATGCTGTGGTGGGCTCCAGCCGACACAGCGACGCCGCGCTCTTCCCCCAACGCCTCGACCTTCTTGGGCAGCAGCTGCTCCTGCCCGTCGCCGTGGCCCAGCTGGCCCTCGACCCCGCGGCCCGAGCTCCAGACGGTGCCGTCGGCGGTGACGGCGAGGCTGCAGTAGTCTGCTGCCGACACGGCGACGACGCGGTAGCCAGCCAAGCCCTCGATCTTCTTGGGCAGCCACTGCTGGTTCTGCTCGTCGCCGTGGCCCAGCTGTCCACATCCAGAGCCCCAGCTCCAGACAGCGCCGTCGGCGGAGAGAGCAAGGCTATGGAACCATCCAGCCGCGACAGCGAGGACGCGCTGGCCAGCCAAGGCCTCGATCTTCTTTGGCAGCAGCTGGCACGGAGCGGCGTGGCACGGGCCGTGGCCCAGCTGGGCGTAGCCTCCATCGCCCCAGCTCCAGACAGCGCCGTCGGCGGTGATGGCGATGCTGTGCGTGATCCCAGCCGACACAGCGACGACGCGCTGGCCAGCAAAGGCCTCGATCTCCTTCGGCAGCAGCTGGTTCTGCCGGTCGCCGTGGCCCAACTGGCCTTGCCCTCCACAGCCCCAGCTCCAGACGGCGCCGTCGGCGGTGAGGGCGAGGTTGTGCCCGCCTCCAGCCGACACAGCGACGACACGCTGGTCAGCCAACGCCGCCACCTTCTTCGGCAGCAGCTGGCTCTGCCCGTCGCCGTGGCCCAAGCGACCAAAGGCTCCACAGCCCCAGCTCCAAACAGCGCCGTCAGCGGTTAGGGAGAGGCTGTGCGTGCCTCCCGCCGCCACGCTCACGGTGCACGCACCCAGCATCGACGGGAGGCGGGTCGGCGTGTTGAGCCGCAGCACGCCCTCGCCGTGCCCGAGCAGTCCTGGCGTCCAGCTCGCAGCCGATCCGCACGACGAGAGCCGCCCCTCGCCGTCAATGAAGAGGCTGTGAAGTTCGCCTGCCGCCACCCTCGCCGGCGGGTTGGACTCGCGCAGCAGCGCCGAGTAGCACAGCCACCGCACGGCGCAGCTCTCGCCCTCTGGCTGCGCCGGCAGCTCGAAGCCGCGCTCTTGCGCCCACAAGCGGATGCCCTCCTTCGCAAGCGAGGCGAAGAAGAGGAGGGAGACGGCCGCGACGCGAGCGATGTCGGCGGGGTCGCAGCGAGAGACGACGCGCACGAGGATGTCCGTGGGGAGGTCGAGGAGGGGGCAGTGCGCGGCGGCGGCGGCGGAGGCGAGGCGGCGCGAGCGGCGCCGTGGGGCAGTCATCGCGAGAAAAAGAATTTCCGCCCTCGAGAAGAGAGTGGGACGACCGCGAGGTGGCATGAAGGTTGCAGCGAGAAGCGGCGAGAGACTGCGAAGAGAGATAGGAAGAGGCAGACTCCCTAGGGTGGGCGACGGCTAGCGCACCACACCCCTCTCCTTAAAATCCCTGTGTGGTGGCGGCGTGCCGTCCTCCCATCCCTCCCTTGAGCACCGGCCCGGTGCGGCGTGGGTAGAGGTAAGGTAAGTAAGGTAAGGTACACTTCTCCACACACACGAGGTGGTGGGGCAAGGGGGGGCAACCCTCGCATCTCCACGTCTAACGACAGGAGCCCCACGGCATTTAAAGTGCAAGGCCCGGTGCGCGTGGGTGAGCGGTGTGTGTGTGTGTGTGTGTGTGTGTGTGTGTGTGTGTGTGTGTGTGTGTGTGTGTGTGTGTGTGTGTGTGTGTGTGTGTGTGTGTGTGTGTGTGTGTGTGTGTGTGTGTGTGTGTGTGTGTGTGTGTGTGTGTGTGTGTGTCACGTCACTGCATCCTCTCTGCCGGTTCCTCCCGTCGCCTCTTCTTTGTTCGAATGTTTTTCAATCCATCCTCCACGAAGCCCTCCCATGTAGCTAGCGTTCTTTGCGAATGTCTCGAGATGGTCAGCAGGCGCTGTCTGCTCGCGGCCTGTGCGGGCCGCTCGTCCTCCTCGCCCTTCTTTGGGTAGAGGGTATACGGCTCTAGTAGAGGGCCCACAGCGTCCTAATCTAAAATCTGAGGATTCAGGATTGAGGCATCGCTTTAGTGAGGCCAAAGTGAGTTTATGGATGGGTGAGAACGATGCGCGACACGGGGAGGCACGCGGACCGAATCGTCGGCGACTATGCTGCACGCCGTTTCAGAATTTTTCTCAGCGTGAGCGAGACGTGGAAGAGTGCCACCGTCGGGTAGGACGGGTCGGCCCGGAGCAGCGGAGTAGCCGTCGTGGTCGCGGCGAGCAGCGCCGGCCACTCCGGCGCCGCGTCGGCAACATGGGAGCATGTCCACCGCCACTTCGCGGTCGCAGCGCTGTTGTCGCCCAAAACGCCGCTATGTACCTTTTCGGGCAAACCATCGAGCTGTATGTCGATTTCGACTTGACGGCGGCATGGAGGCATGATGCCTCCATGCCGCCGTCAAGTTGGAGCCAGTCTGCGGCGACCACAGCGCTCAGAAAGGTACATAGCGAGCTTTTCAGAGTCAAGCGATTGCGCGAAATCCCACACTGGTGGATTTTGGGGCGCTGTGGGCCCCCTAGCTCTAGCAAATACAGCCCCAGCTCGGCCCCCCAGCGCCAGGCGAACTGCGTGTTTACATTTTACATTAACTCCGCTCTATCCACGTGCACTCCCCTCCCCGCCCCATCCGCCGGCGCGCGCCGCATCTCGCCATCCATCTCTCTCCTTGCTACAGAAGCTACAGTGGACCGCTCGCGGTGCGCGCGCGGGCGGCAAGCCGCCCGCGTCACGGGCCGCGGAAGCGGCCGCCCTCGCCGCCCGCCATCTCGGAGAGCCGCAGCCGCACTGCCCTAACCGGCGGCGGGGGCTCCTCCTCCCACGGCCGCTTCCCCTTCTCGCTCACGTCGCGCGCCGGCGGCGGCCAGAGGCGGCTGTCGGGGGGAGGCAGCCAGGGCGCCTTGCCCTTGCCGCCCACCGCGGCGCCGAGGCGGTCGTCGCCCAGCTTGAGCTTTTTATGCGCAGGCCCGAACCCGAGCGCCGCGTGCTGCCGCTCCCCCAGCCCCGCGTGTCTCTCCGCCCCTCCTCCACCCCAGAGGTGGTTTTCCAGCTCGCTCGAGCGGCGTCTCAAGCCTGCCGAAGAGCGGCGGGAGCAGGGCGGTGAGGCGGCACGGCGGCGCGAGAGGGCGGCGAGGGGGGGGGGGGGGGGGATCGGCCTTCCGCGCGCGCGGGCGGCGGCGCGTGCGTCTCCGCGTGTGAGACCGGGGCTGTGTTGGTCGCAGAGCAAGGGGATGAGAGGGGAGAGGAGCGCGGCAGCGAGGACAGAGGTGGCAGCGGGGGAGAGAGGGTGGCAGGGAGGCGGCGCGGAGGGTCGCAAGGGCGGCGGCGCGGGAGAAGAGGGGCTAGGAAGCGGGGAGAAGAGAGCTACGGTGGCGGGCAGTGCTCTGCGCACCGCTCCCTGCGCGGAGCCGGTGGTCGAGCTTGGAGATGACGTCGGCGGTAGTGTGGCCCTGCGAGCGCAGGTGCGAGATCTCCTGCTTGAGCAGCAGCGTCCGCGTCGCCTGCGCCGAGTTGAAGCCCGTCGCAGCCACAATATGCTCGAGCTCGGTCACGGTAGCGTCTGCGGTGGGGGACGCGCGGCAGCGAGGTGAGGTTGGGCGTCGCGGCGGCGGTGGGGGCGGGAGCGGGAGCATGGGAGCGGGGACGGCTCGCGGGGGCGAGCGCGCTGCGGGGCGGGGCGAAACTAGCTCGCGCGAAGGCGGCAATGTCTTGGCTGGGACGGATGGGGCGCGCCTGAGCTGCACGACGGCGCGGAGCCGTGCCGGTGCTGGACGAGCTGGTCGAGGAGCTGGAGCGATGCTCGCGGGGCCTCGACGCCGCCGGCCACCAGAAGCTTCCTCTGCTGCCTCGCGGTCGCCCGGAACCGCTCCTTTGCGCGCCTTATCGCGGCCCGGTCCTGCTGCTTCTCTGACGGCTCTCCTCTGCCCATAACGCGCGGCGCCTCGGCGTGCACGCCTGCGAAAGAGGCGGCGAGCGAGGGCGGTGTGAGTGGCGCGAGGGCAGCGCGCGCGAGGGAGGGCCGTGGCGCGCAGGGAGCAACCTCGCACAAACTCAGCGTAAGTCCCAGAGGCCGGCTAGCTTCGGCGTTGGTGAATAAAGAAAACATGGCGACGCCTCAAATGCGCGGGGTTGCGGCGCGATGCGGTTCGCCGTGCTCTGAGACTTGGAGAAGAAAACACGCTCTTGCATCGCTGGAGCACCCTGAAGCGCGCCCATCCAGAGCCCTTGAGTCGCGGCCCGCCTCTCTCCAGACACCTCTGCGCGCCCCTAGGCCTCCGAAGTTATGGCGCCGACGCTCGCACCGCCAATCAAGGCCGTCCGGCTGGTCACGCCGTACCCGCGGCCAAAGGCGGGGGACACCGACGTGCCCCTCTCCGACGTCCTCAAGCCGGGCAAGCCGGCGGTCCTCCACCTCTTCACCGGGTGAGGTGGGTGCTGGCCGTGCGCCGAGGCCATGTAGCAAATCTGATGCGCTATGTATAGCACGATTCAAAAAACACTTTACAAGTACAAGAGAGCAGAGAGCGGACAGAGAAAAAAGAGTAACACCAATGCGTCCAAAAACCTAAGAGCTTGAGCCGTTCAAGCAGGTGTATATGTGTCTGTTGCGCGCGCGAAAACGGAATCGTACGTTGCGTAGATGCGCGTGTCGTTGCCCGACGCGACATGTTCGAGGAAACGGGCGTACCCACGCATGTCGACCGTGCCAAAAATCGGGAAGGACGGCGGCTCATATTCGGCATAGCCGAGCCAACGGACGCCGGTCTTTGCGCCGCAGAGCTGCTTGTACCGATAAAAATCGGCGGCGCCGCGTTCATTTCGATAGGTTGCATGCAACTCGATCACCGTCGCGTCGTCTTGTAGGTACAGGCAGTTGGCCAACGACGCGCCATAGGCGGAGACCAGAATCTGCGTGTGCTGCAGCAACTTGAGCTGATCGAGAAAGAGCATCGAGGGGAAGATAACAGGCACAAACGTCAGTCGCGGAAAGGCGCGAGCGAACGCGCTCTTCGTCGCGTTCATGACCGCTTCCTCGTTTGTGAGCCGACGGGATGTCGTGCAATCGCACCGTTGATTGAGCTCTCTTCGGGCTACGCGGAAACGGTCCGAGCACACGCAGTCCGTCGAACCGCGTCGCACAAACGTCACAAATCGATTTGAACTTTGTACAGGCAGATTGCGATAGGTTGCCTCTCGAAACTGCTTGCGGAAGGCACGATCAAAGTTGTAGGTTGTGTCTCGCATTGGCACGTCGAGCACGTGGGTGATGCCGTGCGTCCTCGCGCGTGCAAGCACCTCGTCGAAGGTGCCGTTCAAGGCGCTGAGCCACAACCAGTGCCGTGCCACGACCTTCCGAGAGCCCACAGCAATTGCGAATTCGCGCAGGATCGGGAACGTCTGCTTCATCCGCGGCAGGTATATTGCTTTTGGCACCACGACGGAAAACTCGATGGAACGCACCCAGTGAAAAACAGGGAACATGACGCAGTCAAACATATGGGCATAACTCGATGTGCATTCTTTGGACGGCTCATCGCCGCCCCAATTAAGACGCACTGCCACCAATTGACGCGTTGAATTGATGGCGCCCGTCGGCACCAAGTTCTTCATATGCCGCTCGCCACTGTGCACGCGATAAAACTGTGCTGGAATACCGAGGAACGGTTCACTCTACGATGCCCGTTCTGCGGTGAGCCAACGTCGCCAAGGATGTGCAGCCCGATGTGCATCGCCAAGATCGTAACTCGCCGCTCTGGCTGCAGTTCGCGTTGGTCGTTCGTCGGGAAGTCGAAGGCACAAAGTAGGGCCGGGGGGGGGGGGGAAAGAATTACCCTCCGGCCTCAAGCGCCTCTCCGAGGTGCAGCTGGAGCGGGGCGAGGCGGCCGAGGCAGCGGCGACTCTAGCGGCCGCCGCCGAGGCGGCACGCGACGCCGGCGCCTTCAAGCTGGGGATGAAGTGGGACATGGAGGCCGGTCGGCGTCACAAGAGGCGACGGCAGCGTTGCGGGGGTCAGCCTGATCGTAACCTTGCCAGGGGCGGAGCGACAGCCGTCCCACTTGGACGCGAACGTCGAAGACGTCTACTCCGTGATCGTGCCCCTCAGCCAGAGGCGGCTTCACGTCGTATCGCGGCAAGAACCGATCGTGCTCGGGCCGGGCGACGCCCTCGTCTTCAAAGCGAACGAGCTGTGCCATGGCGGCGACGGCCTCGGACAGGGCGAAGACATGAGGTGCGCGCTCTTCTTCTACGTGGGACACGGCGTGACGGAGGACGTCGTCGACCAAAGCTTCGAGTGCGAGTGGAAGGCCCCCCGGGCCGCTGCGGGTTTGGGAGTTATGCTTAGGCACAGCTTCGGCGATGGCAGCCCCTCTCTGGGGTGTTGCATAGGCGGGGAGTCTCCCCCGCTGGTCTCCTCCTTCCCATTTTTTCTTTTCTTTTGAGAGCAGGACGCCGGGTTTGTCTTGTATGTGCATGTCGGGCCTGGGTGTGTGTGAGGGGCAGAGGGGCGGGAGCGTGCAGGGCAGAGGCCCAACGTCGGGCGGCTTGTCGGGGTCAGGAGCATTCGAGGGGGGAACGAGGAGGGGAGAATGGGCGGTCGGCGTCGGGGTAGCAGGCTGCAGGGCGTACGGGGTAGCCGTCACTTTCCTGCCTCACAAGGGCGGGGCTGTCCCGGAAAGTGAGAAACGCCGGGCAGCGTGGCGCATTACTGAACCCTCCCATACGTGCTTGTGCTTCCCCCTTCGCTGTCCCATCTCCTCATCTCTTTCCCGCCTGGGCGGGGCGGTGGGCGGGCGCGCGGTGCGGCGCGGCGTGTGTGTGTGTGCGACTGCAACGAAGGACCGCTCGCAGAGGACCATTGGGTTTGTACTATTAACAACGAAGGCGCTCTCAAAAAAAAAATATTAGAAAAAATAACCGCGAACGTGTTACGAGTAGCCGCGGTCGAGAGAGACGCGTGGTGCTCAAGCTGCCGCGCCGCCGACCCACATGAATCATGCCGAGCGCTTGCCTACGAGGCAGCTCGCTGTGGGAATAGAGGCCGGTGACCCCGCGTCCGTGCGGCAGCTCGTCACGCGGCTGGTCTGGCTCGAAGATGCGGTGCAATCTCTGCAGAACGAGCTTGCAGAATTGCGTGCGTCGCAGCCCAAAGTGACTTGCTCTGGCAGCCCAGACGCTGCTGACGACAAGTGCAACGAGATGAAGGCGGCTGGCGAGGCGTGCGCCGTCGCAAAGCGTGCCGGTTGTGGCCTCACGTCAATTCGGAAGGCAGGATACACAGCAACCGAGGCGCGCGCGGCGGGGTTCACCCTTGCAGAAATGGAGGATGCGGGCTACGTTGAGGGCCTTATGGCAGCGGGATACACAGCACAGGAGGCGAAAGAGGCTGGGTATTCGAGCAGCGAGGCGAAGATTGCTGGCTTTGTCAACGGGTTGCAGCAGGCTGGGTATCAGCTGCCCGACGTCAAGGCGGCGGGCTACACGCTGGAGGAGATCAGGACGGCGGGCTACTCGTGCGGCGACGCCAAAGAAGTGGGCTACCCTCTGGAGGAGATCAAGGCGGCGGGCTACGTGGGGGGGCTCAAGGCGGCGGGCTACGCTGTGAACGACGCCAAAGAAGTTGGCTATACTCTAGAGGAGATCAGGACGGCTGGCTTCGTGGAGGGGCTCAAGGCGGCGGGCTACTCTGCGAGCGACGCCAAAGAAGCTGGCTATACGCTGAAGGAGATCAGGATGGCTGGCTACTCGTGCAGCGATGCCAAAGAACTTGGCCACACTCTGCAGGAGATCAAGCAGGCGGGCTACGTCAAGGGACTGAAGCAGGCGGGCCTAACGTGCGCCGAGGCGAAGCAGGCGGGCTACACGTGCGCCGAGGCGAAGCAGGCGGGCTACACGTGCGCCGAGGCGAAGCAGGCGGGCTACATGCCACTCGACTGCAAGCGGGCGGGCTTCTCCTTCAAGGATGCGTGTGCTGCTGGGCTCCGCTGGTCGTATATGGACAATGAAGATAAATGGAACAGCTTTGTGAACGGTTTGGAAGCCATGCCAGTCGACTGGGAAGGAAACAGAGTGTGGTAGAGGAGGCAGCAAGTGTGACGATCACGCCACACTGACGTTCTTGGTGTGCGTGGCCAGGACTGTCATGCGGTAGCAACAAGTATGAAGTAACCCAGAAAGACCGCCGCACACGCTCGACACTATTAGTTATCGCCGCACGTTGCGGATTGTGAGACTAAGCCCTCTACGACTCGACAAAGTGGCGCTGCAGCTGAGGGAGATCAGCAGCTTGTGAACAGTTTGATATCGTTGTGTGTGTGCGCACTCGGAGCGGGCCCCGAAGTCTGCAGACTTGACATATTTATATTGGCTATGTACTGTGTATCACGGTGAGGACCTCTGGTGAGGACCTCCCGTGAGGACCTCTCGCGAGCGTCTTTGGGTGCTTGGGTGGGGACGACGAGGAATGGGCGTGCGAGGACAACCCTGCTTGGGCGCGCCGCTCACTCGCCTTGGGGCAGCCATCATGGGCCGCTGAGCGCCTAACTCTCCGTCAGCCATAGCATTAGTGGGGTAGATTGTGTGCAGCCAAAGCCGGTAGCCGTTGATGGAATGGTTGACATACCACAAATAGCAATGGGTGGTTTGTGCGATACAATCACGAGCAATTGTTTTCTTTTTTAGCGTTCAGCTTCGCTGCAACTTCACGTCGGCGACGTGGTTTTTCTTTTTTCAGTTCGCTGCCACTTCCAGGTCGACGGCTGGCTCGCTTGGTCGACCGCTCCGACTGGCTCCGACGAATTTAGCCGCTCCACACGCTTTTGCGCTGCCGGCGAGGCATCCTGCACCAAGCGATGATCACGATCAAGGCCGTGGTGCCGCCCGCACGCAATGCCATGCTGTGCGCCTGCGCCACCGGGCATCCCTCTCCGTCGCTGCGCAATGGAGTCGGAACATGAGCGGTGGTAGCTTCGCCGCCGGACGCTGAGTCCACTCAGGCGCCAGACGACTCTTCCAGCGGTAGCCCAACCGGCAGCGTGAAGCGGGAGACAGCGCGCGCGAGGGAGGGCCGTGGCGCGCAGGGAGCAACCTCGCACAAACTCAGCGTAAGTCCCAGAGGCCGGCTAGCTTCGGCGTTGGTGAATAAAGAAAACATGGCGCGCCCTCAAATGCGCGGGGTTGCGGCGCGATGCGGTTCGCCGTGCTCTGAGACTTGGAGAAGAAAACACGCTCTTGCATCGCTGGAGCACCCTGAAGCGCGCCCATCCAGAGCCCTTGAGTCGCGGCCCGCCTCTCTCCAGACACCTCTGCGCGCCCCTACCTCCGAAGTTATGGCGCCGACGCTCGCACCGCCAATCAAGGCCGTCCGGCTGGTCACGCCGTACCCGCGGCCAAAGGCGGGGGACACCGACGTGCCCCTCTCCGACGTCCTCAAGCCGGGCAAGCCGGCGGTCCTCCACCTCTTCACCGGGTGAGGCGGGTGCTGGCCGTGCGCCGAGGCCATGGACCGCTGGGCGGTCAAGTACGGCGACGACGCGACCTTCGTCTGCGTCGGCTGCGCGGGCCCCGAGCTGGCAGAGACCTTTGGCTCGCGGCTGCGGCTCAAGCACTGCGTCAACTCGTACGTCAGCCGGAACAACATGCCGCGCTGGGGCCAGCTGGGGTGCAACGGCTTCATCGTGCTCGACGGCAGCCACTCGGTCACGTGCAAGGCCACCGCCCCCTTCCTCGAGGTGGGCGAGACGGCCTTCCAGCACGTCGAGGCGCTGCTGAACGCGATGCTCGACACGCCCCCCGCGCCCGACGGCAGCGGCCCGCCCGTCGGTGACGCGGAGGAGCGCGAGGCGCTCTGCTCGAGCAGCGACAGCTGACACAAGCCGGCCGATCGCCGCGCCAAGGCCCAAAAGGCCGACGACGCGCCGGTCGCCACTGTCTCGCCGGCCGCGTCGGTCAAGGTAGGCTACCCCTCACCCTAACCCTAACCCTAACCCTAACCCTAACCCTGGTCTCGCCGGCCGCGTCGGTCAAGGTAGGCTACCCCTAACCCTAACCCTAACCCTAACCCTAACCCTAACCCTAACCCTGGTCTCGCCGGCCGCGTCGGTCAAGGTGCGTGCATCGCGCCCCTTGCGGGGAGGGGGGGGGGGGGGCGGAAAAGAGGACCCTCTTAGCGCCATCGCCATGGCGCTGCAAGCAGCGCCGGGCAACGACGACTGACCGCCTCCCGGTCCCCCTCGGCACACCTCCGCTGCTCAACGTTTGACGACTCGAACCCGTGAAGCTCAAGCAACAGCAAACAACCTTCCTACCGTGAAGCTCAAGCAACAGCAAACAACCTTCCTACCTTGAAGCTCAAGCAACAGCAAACAGCCTTCCTACCTTGAAGTTCACAGCTGAGCTTCCCCCCCCCCGGGCACACAGGTTGCGGCGCTGGACGCCGAGCACGAGCGCTGCGAGGCCGCGCTCAACGCACTGGCCGAGAAGCGCGACGCCGCCTCGCTCGCCGCCGTCCTCTCCGAGTACGAGTCGCACTTTGCGCACGAGGAGGCGCGAGATATGGCGAGATATGGCGAGATGTGAGGGAGATATGGCGAGATGTGGCGAGATGTGAGGGAGATATGGCGAGATGTGAGGGAGATATGGCGAGCCCTCACACACACGCACACACACACACACACACACACACACACGCACACACACACACACACACACACACACACACACACGAGGAGGCGCGCTCTCTGGAAGTGTCGGGGAAGTGTCGGGGAAGTGTCGGGGAAGTGTCGGGGAAGTGTCGGGGAAGTGTCTAGGGAGGAGAGGCGAGAGGCGAGTGCCCCTCTCTCTCTCGCGCGCGGCCTCTCCCCTCTCCCCCCTCTCCCCCCTCTCGCCCCTCTCGCCTCTCGCCTCTCGCCTCTCTACTCGAGGGGCACGTCTACCCGGACGTGTCTCGGAAGTGTCTCGGAAGTGTCGGGGAAGTGTCTAGGCGCTGCTCGACGAGCACGTCTACTCGGACGGCGGCGGAGACTTCTCCCTCGACGCGTCGGCAAATTCCTAGACACTTCCTAGACACTTCCTAGACACTTCCTAGACACTTCCTAGACACTTCCTAGACACTTCCTAGACACTTCCTAGACACTTCCCAGACACTTCCTAGACACTTCCTAGACACTTCCTAGACACTTCCTAGACACTTCCTAGACACCTCCTAGACACTTCCTAGACACCTCCTAGACACTTCCTAGACACCTCCTAGACACTTCCTAGACACTTCCTAGACACTTCCTAGACACCTCCTAGACACCTCCTAGACACCTCCTAGACACTTCCTAGACACCTCCTAGACACCTCCTAGACACCTCCTAGACACCTCCTAGACACCTCCTAGACACCTCCTAGACACTTCCTAGACACTTCCTAGACACTTCCTAGACACCTCCTAGACACTTCCTAGACACCTCCTAGACACTTCCTAGACACCTCCTAGACACCTCCTAGACACTTCCTAGACACCTCCTAGACACTTCCTAGACACCTCCTAGACACCTCCTAGACACCTCCTAGACACTTCCTAGACACTTCCTAGACACTTCCTAGACACTTCCTAGACACTTCCTAGACACTTCCTAGACACTTCCTAGACACTTCCTAGACACTTCCTAGACACCTCCTAGACACCTCCTAGACACTTCCTAGACACCTCCTAGACACTTCCTAGACACCTCCTAGACACCTCCTAGACACTTCCTAGACACTTCCTAGACTTCTCCCTCGACGCGTCGGCGCGCCGCTCCCACTTTGCTGACCACGTCTACCCGGAGCTTTCTAGGAACCTTCTAGGAACCTTCCTAGGCGCGCCGCTCCCACTTTGCCGACCACGCGCGCATGCTGCGAGAGCTGCGCGAGGCGGGGCAACCTAGACGGACGTCTTTCTTGGACTCCAACTAGCGCTCGAGAGGACACGTAGCCCGCTGTCTTCACTGTGTCCTCCTCTCCGTTGTCCTCACGCGGTGCTCTGAAGACGCTGCACAAAGACCCGTCCTCCCGCCCCGAGGCTGGTGTATTCGGCCCACGCAGGGCAGGGCGGAGGCGCACCGCAACTTGCTCCTCCTAGGAACCTTCCAGGAACCTTCTAGGAACCTTCTAGGCGGGGCAGAAGCTCGACCGCAACTTGCTCCTCCCGTCTGCTGTGGTCGACAAGGCGCTCCGTGCCTTTGAGGCGCATGCGGAGAGGTGCGATGAGGAGCCGAGAGGAGCCGAGAGGGGCCGAGAGGAGCCGAGAGGGGCCGAGAGGGGCCGAGAGGAGCAGAGAGGAGCAGAGAGGAGCCGAGAGGAGCCGAGAGGAGCCGAGAGGAGCCGAGAGGAGCCGAGAGGAGCCAAGGTCGCGCGCCGCTGAGCGCATGCGGAGCGGTGCGATGCAGCTGCGCTCCGTCCGCGCCCCCCCCTCACCCCGCCCCTCGCCCTCCCCCTGCCGACACTGCCGACACACCACGA